TCTGATCACCAGATTGCTTGTTCACAACTGGAGTCCAATGGAAATCCGCATTGTCAGTCAATTAGTCATTGCACTTTTCCACTCACTAGTCATCATGAACAGTCATCATGAAGAGTCATCATGAACGTGGTGTACATGTCGTCTACTGGTGTATCTGTTTGTCGATGTGCACGTGATGATATTGTGACTGTGTGTGTTTGGTGAATGCTAATGTTTGACTGGCAATATGACTGGTTTGTTGTGTTGAGACAGTGTGTGGTTGGATGTGTTTCATGTGGACTGGTTGTATGGTGTAGAGGTGAGGTGAAATAGACTGACAGTGTGTTGGATAGTGGTGATGCGAGTTGATCAAGTGTGTGTGAGACAGTGTGGCCATAATAGTAATGAAAATAATAATATTAATTAGATGTGAATGGGAACAATGTGTATAATTGTAGTGGCGGTAGTTTCGGTCATTGGGATTGATCGATGTAGTAGTTGTTGTTGACGATTGAGAAATAGATTGTGTGTGTGTGGGTTGTTAAAAGCCGGCGACACCCGGTATTCCCAGCCGGTCACCCATGCAAGTACTGACCGGGCCCAACGTTGCTTAACTGCGGTGATCGGACGAGAACCGGTGCTTTCAACGTGGTATGGTCGCCGCCAACTGCACCACCACTCAAACTACACATCAACACAACACACACTCACACATACTAATCAAATACTCACTACTACTCGTCGTCAACATCCCCAATCACTAGTCATTCACTCAATCACTCAAACTACACAAATTACCACAGTCAGTCACACTGACAATTGTCACAACAACTACCACTAACTGCTCCACATATCCATTCAATGCACCGACCACATACACTGATCAACTCCACTCCAGTCTGTATCACTCATTCATCAGTCACACAGCCAACAGATAGATATCAGGCAACATCAATCAACACATACAACTGAATACAATGTCTGTCTGATCACCAGATTGCTTGTTCACAACTGGAGTCCAATGGAAATCCGCATTGTCAGTCAATTAGTCATTGCACTTTTCCACTCACTAGTCATCATGAACAGTCATCATGAAGAGTCATCATGAACGTGGTGTACATGTCGTCTACTGGTGTATCTGGTTGTCGATGTGCACGTGATGATATTGTGACTGTGTGTGTTTGGTGTATGCTAATGTTTGACTGGCAATATGACTGGTTTGTTGTGTTGAGACAGTGTGTGGTTGGATGTGTTTCATGTGGACTGGTTGTATGGTGTAGAGGTGAGGTGAAATAGACTGACAGTGTGTTGGATAGTGGTGATGCGAGTTGATCAAGTGTGTGTGAGACAGTGTGGCCATAATAGTAATGAAAATAATAATATTAATTAGATGTGAATGGGAACAATGTGTATAATTGTAGTGGCGGTAGTTTCGGTCATTGGGATTGATCGATGTAGTAGTTGTTGTTGATGATTGAGAAATAGATTGTGTGTGTGTGTGTTGTTAAAAGCCGGCGACACCCGGTATTCCCAGCCGGTCACCCATGCAAGTACTGACCGGGCCCAACGTTGCTTAACTGCGGTGATCGGACGAGAACCGGTGCTTTCAACGTGGTATGGTCGCCGCCAACTGCACCACCACTCAAACTACACATCAACACAACACACACTCACACATACTAATCAAATACTCACTACTACTCGTCGTCAACATCCCCAATCACTAGTCATTCACTCAATCACTCAAACTACACAAATTACCACAGTCAGTCACACTGACAATTGTCACAACAACTACCACTAACTGCTCCACATATCCATTCAATGCACCGACCACATACACTGATCAACTCCACTCCAGTCTGTATCACTCATTCATCAGTCACACAGCCAACAGATAGATATCAGGCAACATCAATCAACACATACAACTGAATACAATGTCTGTCTGATCACCAGATTGCTTGTTCACAACTGGAGTCCAATGGAAATCCGCATTGTCAGTCAATTAGTCATTGCACTTTTCCACTCACTAGTCATCATGAACAGTCATCATGAAGAGTCATCATGAACGTGGTGTACATGTCGTCTACTGGTGTATCTGTTTGTCGATGTGCACGTGATGATATTGTGACTGTGTGTGTTTGGTGTATGCTAATGTTTGACTGGCAATATGACTGGTTTGTTGTGTTGAGACAGTGTGTGGTTGGATGTGTTTCATGTGGACTGGTTGTATGGTGTAGAGGTGAGGTGAAATAGACTGACAGTGTGTTGGATAGTGGTGATGCGAGTTGATCAAGTGTGTGTGAGACAGTGTGGCCATAATAGTAATGAAAATAATAATATTAATTAGATGTGAATGGGAACAATGTGTATAATTGTAGTGGCGGTAGTTTCGGTCATTGGGATTGATCGATGTAGTAGTTGTTGTTGACGATTGAGAAATAGATTGTGTGTGTGTGGGTTGTTAAAAGCCGGCGACACCCGGTATTCCCAGCCGGTCACCCATGCAAGTACTGACCGGGCCCAACGTTGCTTAACTGCGGGGATCGGACGAGAACCGGTGCTTTCAACGTGGTATGGTCGCCGCCAACTGCACCACCACTCAAACTACACATCAACACAACACACACTCACACATACTAATCAAATACTCACTACTACTCGTCGTCAACATCCCCAATCACTAGTCATTCACTCAATCACTCAAACTACACAAATTACCACAGTCAGTCACACTGACAATTGTCACAACAACTACCACTAACTGCTCCACATATCCATTCAATGCACCGACCACATACACTGATCAACTCCACTCCAGTCTGTATCACTCATTCATCAGTCACACAGCCAACAGATAGATATCAGGCAACATCAATCAACACATACAACTGAATACAATGTCTGTCTGATCACCAGATTGCTTGTTCACAACTGGAGTCCAATGGAAATCCGCATTGTCAGTCAATTAGTCATTGCACTTTTCCACTCACTAGTCATCATGAACAGTCATCATGAAGAGTCATCATGAACGTGGTGTACATGTCGTCTACTGGTGTATCTGTTTGTCGATGTGCACGTGATGATATTGTGACTGTGTGTGTTTGGTGTATGCTAATGTTTGACTGGCAATATGACTGGTTTGTTGTGTTGAGACAGTGTGTGGTTGGATGTGTTTCATGTGGACTGGTTGTATGGTGTAGAGGTGAGGTGAAATAGACTGACAGTGTGTTGGATAGTGGTGATGCGAGTTGATCAAGTGTGTGTGGGACAGTGTGGCCATAATAGTAATGAAAATAATAATATTAATTAGATGTGAATGGGAACAATGTGTATAATTGTAGTGGCGGTAGTTTCGGTCATTGGGATTGATCGATGTAGTAGTTGTTGTTGACGATTGAGAAATAGATTGTGTGTGTGTGTGTTGTTAAAAGCCGGCGACACCCGGTATTCCCAGTCAGTCAACCATGCATGTACTGACCGGGCCCAACGTTGCTTAACTGAGGTGATCGGACGAGAACCGGTGCTTTCAATGTAGTATGGTCGCCGCCAACTGCACCACCACTCAAACTACACATCAACACAACACACACTCACACATACTAATCAAATACTCACTACTACTCGTCGTCAACATCCCCAATCACTAGTCATTCACTCAATCACTCAAACTACACAAATTACCACAGTCAGTCACACTGACAATTGTCACAACAACTACCACTAACTGCTCCACATATCCATTCAATGCACCGACCACATACACTGATCAACTCCACTCCAGTCTGTATCACTCATTCATCAGTCACACAGCCAACAGATAGATATCAGGCAACATCAATCAACACATACAACTGAATACAATGTCTGTCTGATCACCAGATTGCTTGTTCACAACTGGAGTCCAATGGAAATCCGCATTGTCAGTCAATTAGTCATTGCACTTTTCCACTCACTAGTCATCATGAACAGTCATCATGAAGAGTCATCATGAACGTGGTGTACATGTCGTCTACTGGTGTATCTGTTTGTCGATGTGCACGTGATGATATTGTGACTGTGTGTGTTTGGTGTATGCTAATGTTTGACTGGCAATATGACTGGTTTGTTGTGTTGAGACAGTGTGTGGTTGGATGTGTTTCATGTGGACTGGTTGTATGGTGTAGAGGTGATGTGAAATAGACTGACAGTGTGTTTAATAATGCTTATAAATATCCAATAATTTTTTTTATTCTTTAACTTTTTTGGTTTGTTTACTGCCCGTTGCTTTTGTCGTTCCCGTTCTTTTATTTCAACCCGTTTTTAGTTTTATTTGTTTTAATATTTTTGTAAGTTTGATTGTTTTCTATTTTTGGCTTTATGACAATTGCTGTCGTGTATTTTTGAGTGTAGATCGAATTCTATCGAGTAAATATTAAGAGCATCAGTTCTCTCACGATTACAGATATTCCTTGCTGAAGTGTACCGAATATCACACAACCTAGATTTAGGGTTTCCTATCCACATCCTCTAACCACCACCTTACCTTTTCGTTCTCTTTTATGTCCCGATAAGCATAATGAATGATAACATTTGGAATATATTTGTGCATCAAATACTATACGTATAATTGCTAGGTAACTAAACGATTCACATTCATGTCCTTTTTATCATAAACTTTATTTTGACCCATGGACTATTATTATACGATTTGCCATTCTTGAGTTATGTCCAATCTATCAATCACTACCTCCCAAATTTATAGCCAATTTTGGCTAAATCTTATCGTACGATGTGGTCTGTCTGGCTGGTAAATAAACCCAGTATGTTTGAAATAAATGATTCATATCGCAGAGACTGAAATTGGTCTTCTGAACTTAACAAGCAGGGATAGGCAGGACCAATGAGGACTATAGACTACTGGCACATATTTTATGCGTCATTGATTCAATGGATAATGCATTGCTGTCTAATTGGTGGTATCATTATGTTATCCATTAACACGGGGCTCTCAGGTTATAAATTATAACAGGAAGAAATTCATTCATGTCAGAATAAATTCATTGAAGAATTATTACATCTACAGTTATATTCGATATAAAGGAATAAACTTATGTGTAGAGAACATAAAACAATGTTCGAAAGTTACAAACACAATCTATTTCAAAACCATAAACATTAAATAAGTAACGAAGTATATCTGAAAGATGTAACATTTAAAAAGTAAACATATAGAATGGATGCAAATGATTGTGTTTATTGACACCGGATCAAGATCAATAGTTGATTAGTGTCAAAATATTGTTGACAATGAATGATCACAGATCTAATCAGCTTTCTTGTTTGTTGAACCACCACCTTCTAACATTTGAAGACGATACTATGAAGAAGACAACAAAAAAAACATGAATAGAGAAGTGATCATTGAAAGAAATGAAGATGATGAAACTATCATTTATGGACGAATCAATCAGATTTTGGGATGACAGGTCTTGGATTGTAGTATGAAATTCACTCACATCCATTTGGCTAAAGAGAGTCAGTTCGTGATGAAAACCATCAATCTAATTCTTAACCTTTACCATCGACAATAAATCATTATCTTTATTCCTTAAACTGTTTTATAATCTTCATTTAGCCCTATTAAGTAGATAGACATTCTCAAGGTCACTTTGGCATCGATCAAAGGTCGTCCTCCATAAATTATAGTCTCACAATGAAGATTATTCATTGAGTGAATAGTAACAAATGTCATATTTGTCCAGTGTTTTAATACGGATCGAACTCTATTGATCATTTGGCGGAGGGGTGCCTAACTGGTTTACTCAATGATTATTGAATTATAAATGTTTATTCAATATTTATAAGGAGTGAAATAAAACTAACTACAATATAAATAAGCTACATGTATTATAGTCTAATTTAAACAAGTTAACTACGAAAGTCATCATTCAGAAGATACAATTGTTTATTAACAGCTATCTACGTAAAATACTTCGAATCCGTTGGCCACACGATATCACTAACAATCTATTGTGGGAGAGAACAAACCAGATTCCAGCAGAGGAAGAAATCAAAAAGAACAACTGAAGGTGGATAGGATACACGTTGAGGGAAGCATTCAACTGCTTACAAACCAAGCCCTCATCACGTGGAATCCTCAAGGCCAAAGGAGAGGAAGACCAAAAAACACATTACACCGAGAAATAGAGACAGACATGAAAAGAATGAACAAAAATTGGATAGAAGTTGAAAAGAAGGCCCAGGATAGAGTGGGTTGGAGAATGGTGATCGATGACCCATGCTCCATTGGGAGTAACAGGCGTAAGAAATTAAGTAAGTAAATGTAAAAAGCAAATAAACTTTTGAAGTAGGAAACAAATCACAAGCAATCTTACATAATCCTTATTTATTTATTTGCTTATTTCAGCTATACATGTAAATTGTGATATAGTACAGTACTAGAATAATATACCAATACCAACAATACAAAGAAAGAGATAACATTCTAAAGAAAAAGATGAAGAACAAGTCAACACAAAATTACAATATCTCTTGGTGAAATCTGACAACCATACAGTGAACATCTCATTTTCAAAATATCAATCAATCATCTCAGATTTTGTTGTTCTTTCGTTTTCACACCAATCATTCTCTGTTCTCTTTCTCTTCTCTTCGATCTTTTTGACCTTCTGACGCCAGGCATTTCCCTTTCAATTGACGATACATTTTACTTATATCTGTCGACATCAGTAGCACACACCACAATACGACCGAGAGTAGAGAGAGTTCGCTCTCCCCTCCATATTCTCTCATATGATCACGCGTATATAGTCACTCATCATTAAGTCCTACTCCCTGCCTTCCCGCCAACAGGCTGCTCTTCACGAAGTCAAGAGGACGAAAAGCAAATATTTTGGAAATTAAACCACATTAGTGGACGGATACAGAGGATCTACCTAGGGCAGTTATAAAACCCTGGTTCAAAACCAATGGCGAACATGGGCTTCAGGATCCTAAGGGAGCAAATGGAGTATGAACCTAATCTTTGTCACGGGTTACCATGTGATCGTGTAGTGTCAGTTATTATGTTAAGCCCATATACTTTATTCTAACTTTCGGACAGCCCAATCTATTCATTCTACTTGAGTCATATTTTGACCTTGTTAATTATTCGCTTATCAGTCTTGACTGTTTTTATATGAGCTCATATGTGTGTACACTTCATATCCCATGTCTGTAGTTTATTTTGTCTGTCTATAAATATTGAGTAACGCCTGGCTAAAAATGAGTTGGCTTACCAGCCATCTCCACTGCGCGTCATTTTGCTCTGTTCTATTACATTCACTTTACATACAAAATACATGTATTCAAAGGCCATTCACGTTATTTGACTTATTTGACTTCGTTATTGACTAACGTGATTTAAGTCGATGATTGTATACGAGGATAGGTGATAACAAACATTCGTACGATCTACATGGAGTCAGATCTACGGGCCATTAAAATCGCATCTTATAACGTTTCTCCACTGTCTTGTAGAATAGATTCCTTGACCAAAGGCTTATGGAGTGGCTCCTAAGAAAACCAATTGCTTCAATTTGGACAACCGAACAGTATCTCAGCCCACATACAAATGGAGTGATTTTTGTGGCGTATATATATTTTGGTGCTCCTTTAATATCAATGTTTATGCGCTTAAATAAATAATAATTAAGATAATATATGGGTATTTAGTGAAATACTCTAAACCCCATTCCCTATTACCACAACAGGTCACAATATTTCAATAAAATATCATTTTAAGAAGGTGTTGATTACTTCATTGTAAAATAATTACAGAACATGAATCATCCCTCTTTGTAACTTACTTGTAGTTTTTGACATTCTTGTGTGACACGATCGTATTCAGTATTCGTTTGAAGAGTTTGTTTCTTTAAAGTTTCCAAATCTTGTTTAGTTTTTTGATGAGCTAATATATAGGGATACAAGATTCAATGAAAGAAAACATTCAATTCTCATTAATGACTAACTTAAAAGGACAAAGTAATATTTACAAAAGGTTTAAACCATTCTGAATTCAACTATCATGAAATAACTAATGGAATTCCTTTACTTAATAAAGTTCGTGTTAACTAATGGATAATGGGTGGAAACTTGGAGAACTACGAAAGCCATCATTCAGAAGATACAACTGTTTATTAACAGCTATCTACACAAAATACTTCGAAATCCGTTGGCCAGACGATATCAGTAACAATCTATTGTGGGAGAGAACAAACCGGATTCCAGCAGAGGAAGAAATCAAAAAGAACAACTGGAAGTGAACAGGATACACGTTGAGGGAAGCATTCAATTGCGTTACAAGGCAAGCCCTCATCACTTGGAATCCTCAAGGCCAAAGGAAAAGAAGAAAACCAAACAACACATTACACCGTGAAATGGAGACAGGCATGAAAAGAATGAACAAAAATTGGATAGAAGTTGAAAAGAAGGCCCAGGACAGAATGGGTTGGAGAATGCTGATCGGTGACTTATACTCCATTGAGAGTAACAGGCGTAAGCAGGTAAGTAACAAACCAAACAGGGTTTCCCACCTAGTACCTTGATACACTGCTTAACAGCTTAATATAGTTCATGCAATGTTGAGTCATTTAGACTAGTGGTTACATTACAGCTTAATAGATGAAATTAGTCAATTAGTCAAGTTCTTAAGGGTATAATGGTATATATATGAGTATTTGTGCATTTCATTCGGTAGTCTTATACACTTTATCGCTCACTTTTGTGTTCTCGCTCAAGTAGTCCGTTGTGAAGTTAGTGTGTAGAATCTAGTGTATATGTATCAGATTTCAGACAACGGAAGTCGAAAAAGAATACAAAAGGGAGCATAAGTTCCATAAAGATTAAGAGTAAGATTAAATAGAGTGTAAGTTGGCATGGGAAATAGCCCCAAGGTTTCCTGGAGATTACCTGCAACTACCTACCAGATTATCTGTTTAGAGTTCCTCTGATTATTGTGACTAATGGTATGAAATATTGGGTGATATGACTCAGAATCAGTCGACATGGTACAGATACATTCGATCTTCGTCTATCCTTAGACCTTGGAGTTTCAAAACTGCGTTTATTATTCTCTTATTCCGTAAAAAACAATACAAAATATACAATATATATGATCATGTAGTTCAAGATTAAAACTAACCTTTTTCCTCAGATTCAAATTTCTTAGTTAATTTCGCCAATTCATCTTTTAATGCTTCCATAGTATCAGGCTAGTGAACAAGAAAGAGAAGAATTTCACAGATTATAGAAAGCTATATTCAAATTATATGTTAATATATATATAGTGATTAAAAAACACTTTAAACAAATATAGAGTTCAAAATTTTATTACAAACTATAATTTCATATACGGTATTTTGTAGTTTTTACTAGAACTGAGAGTTTCTTAGCACTAACAGCTGAACTCACCCACAATCGACCCTGGTTAGAGTTCAGACACCTCACTACAATCCACATCGAAGCACATAATGAAGCAAAGAAATCAGCTCCCTATTGGATCAACATGCATTTGATCCTGGCCCCTAGAGTCGATCCTCCTCTCAACGTTACGGGTCCAATTTGCTAGCTTCCTTTACCGACATATCAGTTTTCAAAGGCCGTATACCTTAATTAGCTGCTGTAGATATAAGTATGGGATGCCAAGAAAATTAAATTGCTTCTCTTCTTATTGCTTATGGTCTACGAAAGCGTTCTGGATACCATAAAGGTAATGCTTTATGCAGGCTACCCCCTGTCTCTGAACAAGCCGATTTTAAGCAGTGGGTGGATTGCTGGCAGAGAAAAGAGGACTCTTCCTAGAACTTTCGCCGATGTCTTCGAGGTTGATTGCGTCACTGCACCGGGCTCAATTCGAGCCAAAGACTCAAAATACACCAATCTCTGTGGTTAAGGTCGGGAATATTAACTCAACTTCCTTTCAGTACAGGGGGCTACAATGCGACAGTGCTTTGCAAATTACTGCGCGAATCCTGCGGACGGACAATGTCATAAACACCGCCTCAGTCCCAATTTGCCAGATAATTTTGGGCCGCTTGGCCCATATTCGACTCCTATTCGCATGGAACCCCACCCCATCTCAGCCTTCTATGTTCTTACTTGAATACTTGCTACGACCACTAAGATCTGCACCCGCGGTTGCTGCATCGAGGCACACAGCTGAGGTTTCCAGCTAGCCATAGAGATTTCGCTACTCATTGTCGTTACTCCATGCTTGGATCAAACGCGACTAACCCTAACACAGCATAACCCTAATAGTTATGTGGTCGTAGTTTTAACCATACATGCAAAGAATAACTTTTAAAACACAGAACTGGTTTATTTTACACAGTCCGATATACTCAATATTGTAGTTAGACCTCCTGTCTAACATCAACATTAGTTAAAATTAAATACCTTCTTCTGCAATGCTTGCACAGTTATGGAATTTATATTTTAAGTGTGAACATAAAGAAAATTCATCACTCTGTAATCTTTATCTATTTATTAAAACGCTGCTTATACTTTTAATACCTCTACCACTACGGGATTTGAATCGACAACTGCATCTCTATGCTAATATGGTATGGCAGCTCGAACTGATGTACGTACGTACGAAGTTCTACGTTGTAACTGACTGACTGAATATTTAAACGCATATACACTGATACAAAGGAGCACCAAAATATATATGCGCCACAAAAATCACTCCATTTGTATGTGGGCTGAGATACTGTACGGTTGTCCAAACCGAAGCAGTTTGTTGTCTTAGGAGCTACTCCATAAGCCTTTGGTCAAGGAATCTACTCTATAAGACAGTGAAGAAACGTTACGAGATGCGATCACATAGTAGCCCGTGACCAAGATTAGGTTCATACTCCATTTGCTCCCTTAGGATCCTGAAGCCCATGTTCACCATTGGTTTGGAACCAGGGTTTTCCAACTGTCCTAGGTAGATCCTCTGTATCCGTCCACTAATGTGGTCTAATTTCCAAATATTTGCTTTTCGTCCTCTTGACTTCGTGAAGAGCAGCCCGTTGGCGGGAAGGCAGGGAGTAGGACTTAATGATGAGTGACTATAAACGCGTGGTCATATGAGAGAATATGGAAGGGGGGAGCGGACTCTCTCTACCCTCGGTCGTATCAGGGCATTCTATAATTCTAACAATAACAATTGTGAAGCACAAAGTAGTTAATGTACAACTAGATTACTTGGTTAAATTAATAAGGCACAAAAATTAGTGTGGCAAGTTTGTGGAGATCATTGAATTTCACAGTTTGTATCATGAATTGACTGTAGCGAGACGACCAATGAAAATCAGTAAACATTTCATATTACAGTGGAGTTTCACAGAAGTATCCATCTACGACCTCACCGAGAATTACATTCAGAACTTTAAGGTCTGATCATGAAACTGCCTTATTTTCCTTCCAGAAAACATTACAAATACAAAATTTAGATGAAAGTGAGTTATTCGAATTTATCCATATATAACTAACAGTTTGTTCTGTCAACCTTGGATTTGATTAGTTGTTTTTAACACTTGTCTTATTATTTTAGTAAAGTTGAATAGTGTTTAGCAATGGAATCCATGATGAGTGTTTGTTTTATCTAGGACTCACATGTATGCCAAAAATGTATTGATCAATTATAGTCTTTAATATCACAAAAGGGAGATATAAATATTTACAAATCAAATTCATCCTCATTGCATAATCCAGTAGCTATCTGGACTTGGTACTTCAGTGGATAACCAGTTGGTATTGGAAGCGAATGGTATTGAGTTCAAATTTCAGTGTGAAGATCAATACTGGGATGTAGTTACATCAGGCTGATGAATCCTAAACAGGACGAAACGCATTTTCTGAATTCTACTGTTACTTATCACCAGGTTTTTTAAAGACACTTGTGAATTAATCGTAATATTGAAGCGATTCGCTCAGTGTACACAAATACAGAAAACGAGACTGATCAATTACAGACCTTAGTAGCATCAATGAGATATTATTTGTCCTATCAATGCCTGAACATTTGACGTGATCATTGACCTTATAATTATTTAAGATTTTTCTAATTAATCAATAGATTAAATAGATTTCCATACGTTTATTAAACACCGATTGACCTGAATGCCAAGCTTCTAAAAGTGCTGTCAAGATCGAAAAAATCGATTGAATAAATATTCAGCTAATAACGGGACGAGTGTAAACAACAATCAGTGAAGGTCAAGGTTAACAGAATAAGCTGTTAGGTATGTATAAGGACAATATCTAACTGTAACTCATTTGGAATCTTATACTATAAGCTTCTAGTTCCAATTATCCGACTGTCTTAATCTCATACCTATATTATCGATAATGTCATTGATTGTATCCATCGTTAAATGTAAGTGCATCTTATGTGCTCACTAAACTGTCGGCTTACTTTTTCTCTTATTGTTTTTTCTTTCAAACATATTGCCAGCTACACTTCCTCTGTACATCAGATGTGATCCTAATAATAAATCTGGTCAGACATTGGCGAAAAGATCGGCGCACGTCGTTAGTCAAGATTTGGTTTCTCTTTCTAGGTGGGGACATACGACTGATTGAAAGTGGAGCTTTATCTTCTAAGGGAAAGCATGCACATATATTCTCGATTCCATTTTGTCAATAAAGCTTCCTTCTCATCCAATTAGTTGGTCTACAATTGAGTATAGGAAGCTTGCGTATATCAGTATAAGTATTCGGAAAGCCGCACAACATAATAATAAAGGTTGAACGTTAAACATTGTTATCAGAACCTTGCGCTAATAATGGTCTCTAGAATGCCAATTAGAAACCTTCGTGATGAAACCACCCAGCTCATATAATATTTCGATGATGATAATAATAAACTTACATATATATCTTCCGTATCACTATCAGTAACTTTTGATTGATCTAACAAACGTTGCGCTGCTGCTGTTGCACTCTGAGCTTGTTTAATACTCGCCTCTTCGGAAGCTTGCATTTTGGCATGTTCCGAAAGTAAACTGACAAGACGATGCAGTACACTTGAAATATGAGAATCAGTTGCAATTAGATATAACGAAGGTTTAAACAAGAAATAATACGAAAAAGATAATCTTTTTTATATGTATGATTGTGTTTTAAACAATAGTGACTAGCATTTAAGTCGAGAATACGCGTTTCATTCTATTTAGGACTCATTAGCTGGATGTAACCACAGAGATTCGAACACAGTACCTTTCACTTCAAGACACTAATAAACTGCAATCAATTGAATCAACGAGAACGTTCGAACAAACGTTACAAATGACTTAAAATCCAACTCAATGGCTATTCGCACCCAGTTAAGAAGTGGTTATCTGGAATCAGTAGCTCAATAGATAAGGTATTGGGCATTTGAAGCGAAAGGTACTGAGTTAGAGTTGCCATGTGAACACCAACACTGATGCATGTAAATCCATCTGGCAAGTCCCAAACAAGATGAGACATGCATCTTAGATTCCACGGCTAGTCATATACTATATCCACTAATTGTATAAACTGTCTGAAAAAACGATATATTTTACGTGACAATTACAGAAAAACATTGGTTGAAGTTGGAGATGAGATGGGAAATTCTTCAGTATTTTCTTCTATAATATTTATGATTCTAAAAAATTATCCTACCTTCGTCATCTCTAATCTTAACTAATTCTTCGCTCGATGTAACTTTCTGTGCATCAAATTCCTAAGCTAAAATCACCACATCAGATGTCAAAATCAAATCTAGTCAACTCATTCACCAGGTAATTAAGTATGGACCACCTTTTAAGTGTGAGAGCTAGTGATACTAACCGATTGCCCGAACCGAACCTGAGACTTAATAGCTGAAACTCGGACGTCTTTCGGTAGAACAAGTCTTTTAAAGCCTACGAGTTGCAATCTATGGATTAGGTTGAAACTACGAACTGTAGTATCTTCATGTATACCTATATTTCCGAATTTTCAGTCATTAGAAATGAAGTGATAAACAAAATAATTCTTTTACACTAACCATCATACATAAAAACAAACGAAGGAAGTAGAAGCGCAATGGCTATGACAAACTAAAAACACAATTAGTAGACAACAGACGAATAACACATCACTGGTGAGTTGGCTTTTATAATTAGAAGTGTCCAAAAGATCTCGTCAGAGGGCATAAATCATGATCACTTAGATGACGACAGTCAGGGAGGTTGATTATGAATACAGTGGTCTTGAATGTTGTTAGAAGTATGAGGGCTGTTATCACTTCCCGGTTGCCCACACCGTGGAAGGGTTCTTCTAGAGGTACCTGTAAAGGAAATTGGATTATAGGTGGTCTTAGTGGCCCGAGAGCGTGACTGCAGTGCCCAAGGGACAACTGATTGAGGTCTGCCAGACACGGCCTTATTGTGAGTAATTTTCGTGATAACTCCGTACTTGTTGAGACCTTATCGACGGAGACGGGTGTCCGTGGGATAAGGCGAGATGTGTATTTTTAAGGTCGACCTTTTTTAAGCCCACCCGTCTTTGTAGGAAGGCAGCATCGCTGTTATGTTGGTTGTCTGAAGGAAACAACTTACTGCCGTCACACCTCTGTACAGTCAGCAGTACGAGTTCGCTTTCGAACCTGCTTTTAGTTTTATCGTTCTTCAACCGACCTGTCTGGCATGGTAGGACCTTGAGGAGCGATTGTTCCAGACAGTATGGCTCGAGTGGTTCATCACGATAGGCAAGCCCTACCACCACGTTAAGGTACCAACTGTATTCCAGTAACCGGTATTCAGACTACAATCTAATCACTGGTATGATTAAAAGTCTGACTAAAAATGTTCAACGCCAATTAATTTATACATTAAAAGTTCGCCTTTAGAAAAAGATCAAAGTAAAATTAAGTGAAAAAAGCTAACTTACAACCACACGAATAACGAAAACCCAGTAATATAAAAATTACGTTGAGCACGGAACATACGCATCAAGTAAAGAGATTCTGTTTCTGGACGCATTTCATGAGGATGATCTTTAATTGAATTATAGGCTTGTCTCAGTACCCATATATTACGAAGTGCTTCTATGAACAAAATTTCAAAAAATCGATAACATTTATAAGATGGTATTCTGCACAAAAATTACAAGTAAAATATTCAAAACAAAACAATCACTATACACCCTTAAATAGGAGGATTATAACTAGCAGTCAAATTCGAAACTTGTCAACTGAATTTACTCACATTCTAAAGCTGATATTCAGGATACTAAGATCTAAGTACATCTAAATGATGAGTCTCAAATAGGACGAAACGTGTCATCTAGCTATAATCTATCTATTCTAAATAACTTGAGGACAAAATGGCTATATCGATGCAATAGGGATAAGATGCATATACCCCAACAAAGATTGATCAAAAACTGATCCCGATTAACAACAATGGGATAATACAAACTCTTAGTAATAATGATATAAACATACAATTGAATACAACTTATGATTCTCTAAGTTAATCACATTATTTCTCGATTACCATATACTTCTTAATATCTCAGAATCGATCACAATGGCGTCAGTGTATACACTCTTTGTCTTCCCCCAAACTGAGATTAATTCACTTGACCTCACCTCGGCAAAACGGAGAGGCAACGAGATACACCCTCCGTGTATTTGGTGACCCTATGGCCAGTTCTCGTGGACTGGCAGGTGTAGGCATAGCACTAAGCATGAGGGCCGAACAAGCACTGCTAGAGTGGATCCCCGTCAACAGTCGCCTATGTGCTGTTCGGCTAAACGGCTCCGTAAAAACTCGGAAGGATAGGGACACACGTCGTTGCCTTTTCGTCGTTTCTGCCTACGCTCCCACTGACTGCAGCTCAGATTATGTGAAAGATGAATTTTACAGAAAGCTGTCCGAACTTCTTCAGAAAGCTAAACGCTCAGATATAGTACTCGTAGGGGGTGACTTTAATGCTCAGATAGGTAGCTTAAACCAAACAGAAAGGCATTTAGGTGGATATTTTAGCATTCCGGCACAGCGAACAGATAATGGTGACCGTCTGCTGCAACTGTGCTCAGACAATCGCTTATTTTTAGCAAACACAAATTTTAAGCATAAGGAGAGACATCGTCTAACGTGGCGACCGCCTGCACCAAACCAACGATGGACTCAAATAGACCATATTGCCATCAGTCATCGTTGGAGAGGGTCGGTACAAGATTGTCGCTCATTCTGGAGTACCTGCTTGGACTCCGACCACGCCCTAATACGGGCACGCATCTGCTTGCGCCTCACTGGACGCAAAAAAGCCACAGTAAAAAAACCCATTAGAACCGAACTGAGTAGCGAGGAAACCAAAAGTAGGTTCCAGGAACAACTGAGGTCACGGCTAGGCAGTTCTGAAGACAAGGCTGACCCAGATGTTGCTTGGAATGAAATACAAGCAGCTGTGGAAACAGCAGTGACATCTGTTAGCGACTTAAACCACAGAGTTTCAAAGAACCAGTGGATTTCTTCAAAGTCTATCACACTGATGGATTCTCGCAAACTCGTCCCATCAGGTTCTGAACATGATGAAGAGCGACAACAAATCAGATCTAGGTTAAGAAAAAGTCTAAGAAACGACCGTGAGCAGTGGTGGGCAACGAAAGCAAAAGAGATGGAAAAGGCGGCGACTATAGGGAACACAAGACAGCTTTACAGACTAATAAAAGAAACTGGAATCAATGAGTCAAGTGTAAGTGAGATTATATCGGAAAAAGACGATACACTCATCTGCTCCAAGTCCAGGCGTTTAGAATGATGGGCGGAACATTTCAGAGAACAGTTCAGCTGGCCTTCAGCTACTCTACAACTACCCTCCATTCCCAGACAGTGTGAATGGAACATTGAAGTAGGTCCCCCAACTCTTGCTGAAGTTCAAAAGGCTATAGTTAATCTGAAACGAGGAAGGGCAGCTGGTCCAGATGGATTGGCTCCAGAGGTCTTTAAGGATGGTGGTCCAATTTTAGCTATTAGGTTGACTAATATTTTAGCTAAAATCTGGGAGTTAGACGTTATCCCATCTAACTGGTCACAATCACTTATCGTCCCAATATATAAGAAAGGGTCAAAATCATCCTGTGACAACCATAGAGGGATTAGTTTAACTAATATTGTATCTAAAATACTAGCCTCGATAATTATCAGACGCCTAACTAAGACTCGTGAACTGCAAACACGAGAGAACCAAGCTGGCTTTTGACCTGGTCGTGGCTGCATCGACCACATATTCACCATTCGTCAGATTCTAGAACACAGGCATACTTATCGACGTCCGACAATGGTGGTATTTCTCGACTTAAAAGCAGCATTTGACTCGGTAGACCGCGAGATTCTGTGGCAGTGTCTGTCATTGAAAGGCGTACCCCAGAAGTACATAAACCTTGTAAAGGCTCTTTACTCGAACACTACTAGTCGAGTTAGAGCTTATGGCGAACTGTCATCTACTTTTGCAACCTCAAGTGGTGTCCGTCAAGGCTGTCCACTTTCTCCATTTTTGTTTAACTTCATCATAGATCTACTGATGGAAATAACTTTCTCGTCGACTGAGTTCTCGGGTATTGATCTCCTTCCAGGAGGTCCACTTATCGACTTAGAATACGTAGATGACATAGTCCTGTTTGGTGAAGACGCTGACAAAATGCAGAGTCTTCTGGTAGCACTGAGCAACAATGCCAGGATGTTTGGAATGCGCTTCTCTCCCTCTAAATGCAAGTTGTTGCTTCAGGACTGGTCTGCGTCAACACCTGAACTAAGGATAGGGTGTGAAGTAGTCGAACGTGTTGACAACTTCACTTATCTTGGAAGTCTGATCAGCCCTAATGGGTTGGTGTCTGACGAAATCTCAGCACGGATTCGAAAAGCTCGTTTGGCTTTTGCCAACTTGCGTCACCTATGGCGAAGGCGAGATATCCGTCTATCAATAAAAGGACGAGTATACTGCGCGGCAGTCCGTTCTGTCTTAATTTACGGCAGCGAAACATGGCCATTAAGAGTAGAAGACACTCGTAAGCTATTAGTATTTGACCACAGATGCCTTAGAAATATTGCTGGCATCTGCTGGGATCACCGGGTAAGTAATAGTGAGGTTAGACGCAGGGTATTAGGGAATGATGGTAAATCAGTTGATGAGGTTATGAATCTTCATCGACTGAGATGGTTGGGCCACGTGTTACGTATGCCTGAACACCGATTACCACGACGTGCAATGCTATCCGGTTTTGGAAATGGTTGGAAGAAAGTTAGGGGCGGCCAAACCAAAACGTGGCATCAGTGCCATGTTGGTAGATGCAGACTACTTGGTTGGGGTCCGCGTGACTATCGTAACCAATGGTTGGATACTCTTGGTGACATGGCTCAGAATCGATCACAATGGCGTCGGTGTATACACTCCCTGTCTTCCCTTAAACTAAGAGATTAAAATCACTTCATATCTTTCTTTCTACGAATCAATTCTTTCCTCTTGTACTATATCTCTATATGCAATCTTTCTCTTACATGCTATGAATCCGGTGTTCATCTTGTTGTGCTGATGCGGTATGGCGACCTGGACCGATGCACATATGTGCCTGGTCCTACGTTGTAGCTGACTGACTGACTGAAACTGAGATTAAAATCGCTTCATATCGTTCTTTCTACGAACTAATTCTTTCTTCCGGTACTATGTCCTTATGTGCAATCTTTCTTTTATATAATACCACCACTGAATTAACTACTTCTATGAATTTGGTGTTCATCTTGTTGTTAAGGTATGGCAACTTGGACCGATACATATATGTGCCTGGTCCTACGTTGTAGCTAAATGACTGACTGACCATACAATATACCAACAAATTAGAACTGTACATTTAATTGTATTTATTTGTTTATTTGAACACATAGATATCGGTACAAGGGAGCAACAGATACATATGCGCCACACAAATCTCATTTGATATGTGTGAGGCCTGTGATACTGCCCGGTTGCCCAAATCGAAGTTGATGGTTTTCTTAGGGGGCCACATCTGGAGACTTTGACCTAAAAGTCTGATGCACAAGGCAGTGGAGCAACGTAAGGAGATGCATTCCCGTGGTAACCAGTGACCAATAACTGGTTCATACGCCATTTTTTCCTTAAGGATACTGGAGCCCATGTGAATTGACTAGGTACTTATTAGGTTACGAAATCGTAGAAAGGTTTATTTTCAGTTTTATTTTTTATTCCATACAACTTCATTTCGAATGTGATATTTAATTATATCATTCTAACATGTTTTCTTAAAAATTTTGAAACTGTTAAGTGTCTTACATTAATTATTGATTTATTCGATATGTAAGTATAATAAGCTGTAAAATACTTGAGATTAAAAAGCATTCAGTTAGGGTCAATGTTGAAACCTGATATGTGTGCATTGGCTCAAGTTGCTACGCGAAAGAGATGGAATTAACAAAATGAGTAAAAAAAGAAATGAAAATAACCTATTATCAATGACCAATCAGCCATTCATATGCGACGTAGAACGCACATGCATCGGTCCACAAATCCCAGAGTAGTCAATCAGTCAGTCACAACGTAGGATCTAGTACGTATGAACATAGGTTTAAGTTTCTATACCCCATGAGCATAGAGATTTGTCAAGTCAAATCCTAGAATAGTAGAAGTAGTAAGAGTACTAGTGGTAATCACACCACCTGTTAAGATAGACGGTGGTTGGACATACTTAAGACATGTCCCATTCAATTCGGTTGATGAAGATTTACTACCTCATCAATTCATTTGCTATCTTTGCATAGTACTATATTCCCAACCCAGGCATTGCTTACCCGGTGGTCCCAAAATACATGACGAATGTTTCGAAAATACCTATGATCAACTACAAGTAACCTACGAATATTTTTTATTATTAATGACCAGGTTTAATACCCATAAAGTAGGACGGAGTCAACTATTGTATAATGAATTTGTCCATTGGTTGATAGACGAATATTTCGCCTACGCTACAAGTGACGAAAGTTGACAAAAGCCGATTGAGCCTTCAGAATACGTGCTGAAACTTTGTCAGACACCAAACCATCAGGACTGATGAGACTTCCAAGATAGGTGAAGTGGTCACTGAGTTCAACTACTTCACTCTATCATTAATTCAGGAAATGAATAGATAGTCAGAAGTTTGAACCACACTTCACCTACTTCACTTTCAGTAGCCATGAAGCGTCAGTAGCCGTCATACAAAAAAATTAACTCAAAGCCTGTATTAATTAAATGGATTGCGTCATGAGATCTCAAGTGGATGGTTTTTATCGTCACGACCAAACCATCCAGCTCAGAGAACAAAACTCCATCAAAATCATGAGGTCTCTTTAGGAGAAGGGAGAATCCAAAACAACATGATTTCTATGTTTGGTATTTAACAAGACATAACTAGTCAAAGTGTTCAAGGACTTGATAGATTTACAATCCTTGAATTCATCTTGTACAATCAATTACCTAGGCTGCCAAATGATTTTATACTTTGGCAACAAAAAATATTTCAAGTATAGGAAATTAGCCCCAGTTAAACAAAAAGGAGTAACAGCTGACACTCCGAAAGTATCATCAAGAATTCCTAGACATTGATTCTTATTTTTCCCATGGAATAACTTCAATATATATGAGTCCTCCGATAGTAATTTGCGTTTAAATGCCAATAAAATCTATACCATACATTTTACAAATTTCCAATTGGATTATTAAGAGCAAATCTTACAACCTTTTGGAAGATTCGATTGTCAAATCTTTATTTCAAATATCAACCTAAGTAACCAACCAACAATAGTTTCACGGTCATCTCTAACCACGTTTGATATAAGTAACGACATCCGTAACACCAATCCACGAACTGAAATTGTCTCAAAATGACAAACTACATTTCTGAGACCATCAGTGGTTTATCATGTACATTTAGTCGTTAGGCTTTGAAAAAAATGCACAGATTTTTGTGAAAAATGCAACAAAAACATAGGTTTCACTTACCAGCTAACACGCATACTAACATTACGAGAAATAAACGAAAATAGAATGATGATTTTTCTGAAATCTTCTGGATTATGCTGAATTTGAAGAATTTGCTCCATCTAATTTTTAAAAAAATGATAGCTACCTAAACTTGGAATGTATATGAATCTTACGTTTGTGATGAGAAGAATGGAAGAATCATCAGCAAAACAACGAACATCTCGCTATACAAGAACGTTACAACTATATGCCACAACATTTTCAATACTTCTAAAAAAAGAGAAAGGTAGAGAAAAAGCGAAACATAATAATATTACATGGCAGTAAATGCAGTATACGAATTAAAAAAACATTAGGTAATTTCATAATGATTTCTTTATAAAATGTTCATTTGTATAGCGTTTAAATGATAAGTAACAAATAATAATGTTTACAGCGTATATAGACAAACAAACAAGACAAATATCTCTGAGAATAAAAAATAAAATGTAACACAAGTAAATTGAGCCCAGAACAGAAATGCAAGACAGTAGTATTGATAATTTCGTCATTATTCTTGATTTGAGACAACCTATAAAATAAAACGCATCGAGTATGACGATGAGCTAGTTACAACGAATTACTTAGCAAGAACATCAGAGTGTAGTAAAATAGACCATATACTGGATTCCTTTGGGTAAATATGGCATTCCCGTAAGAATTTATCGGTAATCCAAGTCCTCGGCCGTATCAGAGTTTTAAAAAAAAGGCATGCAAACATAGTCTTACTTTGATGTCAATACATTCGAACAACTCATATATTCGGAAATATCACAAAATGCACGGTACTCCTTATTTGATTCCTTTGAATGCTCCACATGTAATGCGTAAATACATATTAAGATGCCAACTATGCAGGAGAAAGACATCATTTTCGATGTTTTGGCAAACATTTTCTGAGCTTCTTCTACATGAAAGCAGAAAGATAAACTGTTACCAGAATATCTGTGCAAGCATTTTTATTAAAACACTTGTTTGAAGTTGGCACTATTAGGCTTAGCTACAGCGTTTCAGGCTAGAGAAGAGAAATATCTTCAGGCCTGATGACCACAGACTAACCAGACGATGAATGTGGATCCTTACTAGTCATCGACTGAGAGGATTGACAGATCACTAACTCAGGAGAATAAACGAGGAAATTGGTCGTACTCTAGTAGAAGCACGTGTTATAGTGGGCTTTAATGAATACAAAATACTTACAAGGGGAAAACTTCTAAGAGACCCATACACAGTATTTCGGAGAGGATAGTATTACAGAATGATCTTAGCTCATTGGTGGCATGGTTAGACAGGTGGTCACTAGAAGTAAATCCTAATAAGAGTATAGTGATGCAAATAAATATGATGAATCGTATCACTACACAATAGGTGGATTCGTGCTACCCAAAGTAAGAAACTATAAAGATTTAGGAGTCATATTAAGCAGTGATCTCAAAACCACTAGTCACTGTAACGCTGCTGCTGCGAAAGGCTATAGGGTATTATGGTCTATTTGTAGGTCTTTCCAGTATCTAGATGATGAAATGTTTAGATTATTATACCCGATTTATGTGGGCCCACATTTAGAATATGGGATTCAAGCAGCGAGTCCTTGTTTCAAGTATGAAGCAGATATACTGGAAAGAGTCCAACGACGAGGTACTAATATGGTACAAGGTCTATCTGACTTATCTTATGGAGACAGACTGAGACACCTCAACTTATTTCCGTTATCTTACCGTAGATTACGGGGTGATCTAATATTGGCTTATCGTATACTGAACGATGACCTTGGTATTAACATGTCTTACCTTTTACTTCTGTCCAGGACTGATCACTTGAGAGGACATTAGAAGAAAGTTCAAAAAACCGAGATCAAATCGTTTACGTCTGGAGTTTCGTTTCTCGCACCGAGTAGTGAGTTACTGGAATTCTCTACCGGAACACGTAACATCAGCACCTTTCGTTGATATATTCAAAACGAGATTGGACCTCTACAGTATTACAAACTGCAAGGATTAATATAGGTCGACAGACCTCCTATCCTTATTACTGAAGACTGAACTCAGCAAACGGATGGGAATATCAAGGGTGTTTGAGGAAGAGTCGGCTTAGCAGCTAGTTTACTACAAAGAGGCTTTCCGTTCCAAGTCAGGTCTACAGGACGTCTAGACTGCTACAAAAATTTTGATGACGTCTGTAAACAGCTTAGATAGAAATACTAAAGGCTAATGGACCACTAAGTTATTAGTTGCTTGGCAACTCACTTTGGTGAACACCAAACAAATTCTACGTAATGGTCGTCAATAGTGAGTACACCAAGGACGAATAGAAAAGGTAGATGTGATAGTTATGACACCAAACAACCCAATATTTTACAAAAAGAGAGGTTTTAATTTTTGAATACCCAAACAATAATAGATACTAGCGAATTATATCTTAAACAACAAGAAACAAATATGGTGAGTCCTGCTGCTCTTTGCTTACAAACGTGCAACAGCGCTATTGGTCTGTCCAAATCGTCGAAGGACTTTTAAGTAGCGTTGGCATTTGAATGGTTCAAATGGTTCAAATGGTTCAAATGGTTGTGGACGGAATAGAAGAAGCTTTCGCTTAACAGGCTTCTGTGTCTAGTAGCAGGGGATCACCAAAACCTTCAGGCAGTGGCCTAGGTATGTTAACAATAAAAGAGGAAAAAGAAATCGGTAACTCAGTATGATACTATCCCTAATCCTTCAGAATAGATCAAGTTGCCTCTTAAAGGACTCCTGGGAAGTCGCTTGGACTAGCTCGGCCGGCAGCGAATTCCAGCATTTGGCAACTCTTAAGGAGTAGAAGTTGTGTCTACAGTCCGTTCCGCTATGTTGTGTCTCAAGTTTCTGGGTGTTACCTCTTTGGTTAGTGTTGAAACTAAGCTCAAGTAGGTGTTTAAGAGGATGTCCAGAAGTGTTAAGAATACTATAAGCCATTAATAAATCGCCTCTAAGACGTCTATACTCTAATGGGTAAAGGTCTAGTGAATGGAGGCGCTCTTCGTAAGGTTTAAATTTGAGTCCTCGAACTGATTCCGTGGCTCGCCGTTGGATGCGCTCCAAAGTGTCCTTATCCTTTTGGAGTGAGGGAGGACATACCATGCTTCCGTACTCTAAATGGGGGCGGATAAAACTATTGAAGATTATATGGAAAGTTATTCCGTCGAACTGGCCAAAAATGCGCTTCAATTTTACCAGTGCAAGGTTTGCTCGGAAGGCATTTTTGTCACAGCGTAAGACTTTAAATCATGGGGCACCAGGACTCCTAAATCTTTTTCGACTTAGGATACTACTAGAGAGGAGTTTCCTAAGTTGTAACTGTAGTCTGCGACATATCGCAGATGGAATACTTTACAGTTTGAAGTGTTAAAGGTAAGTCCGTTATCGTCTGCCCAACTCTGAAGTCCAGTCTGACTCTCCTGAAGTGCCTGTATATCGTCTTGGTTGAGTATCTCTCTCCAAAGTTTCACGTCATCGGCAAAAAGTAATAAGTCTGACGTTACCTGTTGAGGAAGATCATTTATGTGGATCAAGAAGAGAAGAGGTCCTAGTACTGAGCCCTGAGGGACCCCACTAGGACATTCCATGTCGATTTTTTAGGTATGAAGTAAGCCAATCGATTAGAGGTGGTTTGATACCTAGTCGTTTGAGCTTATTGATAAGATACAAGTGGTTAACCTTATCAAAAGCTTTTGAGAAATCAAGGTAAATGATATCAACCTTTCCCTTTCTATCGAGGATCCTTGTCCATCTGTCCACTGCAGTCAGCAGGTTGGTTATACAAGAGTAACCCTTCCTGAAACCATGCTGTTGGGGTGAGAAGAAATTTAGGGACAGTAGACAGTCTTTTAAACCGTCGCGTATCAGGAACTCCATGAGTTTTGAAGGTAATGACAGAAGAGCCACCGGTCGATAACTTGGAGGTTCATTGAGTCGACCTCCTTTAAAAACTGGTGTGATGTGAGCCAACTTCCAACTTTCCGGTAGTTTGTCTTGGTTTAGCGAGTGTGAGGACATCACGGTAAGCGGCGTTGCCAGGATTGAGGCTGCCTCCCCCAGTATGGCAGAATGGTCCATATCCAGGCCAGGAGAAGTGTCTATTCTTAAGTGCTGCGGTTTCCGGAACACCAAGTCAGCCCTCAGGTTCACTTCGGAAAGTCCTTTGGAGTTGCAGATGAAGCTTTCATCAGTATAGTTGATTTGGGTCGGTTGGAATGTCCGAGAGTATTGTTCAGCCAAAAGGTTATCGGCGTCGCCGTCGTTATTGGTCTGGCCGTTAGGACGTAGCAGTTGGGAAACTCTTGTTTTGGCTTGACGAAGAGAGACTCCATAACGGAATAAGCTTTTCGGATTAGAGACAAATTTGTCCATAAGCTTTGTCTGGTACTGAAGCCCATCTTCTCTTATAGCCTTCGTGCATAAGTTCCTTATATGTTTGTATTGCCTATACACTCCACTGTTGTCAGTTCGTTTGTACTCTGCCCAACAGTGCATTTTCCGGCTTAGCGGGCGAAGAGTGCGGTTCCTGATGATTGTAGGTTGCTTGTAGCTTCTAGGGACCGTTTGAGGAACTGAATGCTTTGTAGCACATAAAAGCATGTGAAGTACCAAGTTCCAATAAGTATTCACATCGAGTTGAGGGTGAACATCCCAAACCACCTGTTGTAGATAGTCATGTAGAGCTGGCACATTCAGCCGTTTAAAATTCCAACGCGAATTATTGGTGGGATACCTTAGCTTAGTTTTGCTGACAAAACTGAAGGCTATGACGGCATGATCGCTCTTTCCCAGAGGAGCCAGGATTGAGAGGTTGTCAACTAGGAATTCTTCGTTTGTGAATACACAGTCTAAGCGCGATGGTGTCTGACTGTTTCTCCAACGAGTTGCCGACCTCACATTTTCGTATAAGCTCAAGTCATCGATGAGGTTGAAGAACCGAGCTTCAGTTGGGTTTTCACCTCCAGTGTACGTGTGTTCCGCGAAGTTGACTCTAGGGAGATTAAAGTCCCCTAGAATCAGGATGTGTGTGAAACCGAGACGAGTAGAGCGGGATAGTCCTTCCAGCATACGACTATCGTACTCGATGTCGGCAGTTGGCTTCCTGTAAATGACTCCGACTAGACACCTCGAAGTACTTGACAATCTAACAGAGCACCATATGGATTCCTCAAGACTGTTAAACTCGAGGTTATGAACTTGGTGCACCTCCAAGCAAGAACTTGTGTATATGGCTACTCCACCCCCAATTCCTGTTTTTCTGTCGTTGCGGAACAAAGTCATCCCAGGTAATGCTAACTCCTGGTTCGAGAACTGAGAAGATATCCAAGTTTCAGCTATTCATATCAGATGAGCCTTATTAGTATTGCTAAGTTCACGTAGCTCATCCATTCTGTTTGGTATTCTCGCGGCGTTCATCTATAAGCAGTTTATGCTTTCAATTTGAAACGCGTCAGCTTCTTCCTGTTTGTCTGTATGAGCCTTACGTGAATGGACAGGTAGCCTACCTATATAAGGTTTGCCGAGTTGGTAGGCCCTGTCCTTCACACGTTTTTTTATCATTGAGACAGTCGACAAGTGGAATGGTCAGCTCCAACTTGCCTTCGGGCTTGGTCCTAGCTTCATATGGCCTATCCGGGTGCATGTGGATTCCAGGTGGCAACAGACGTCTGTTGGCACGAAATGCCTCTAGAGTCGCAGCTGCCATATGGGAGGATAGGACATTTATCTTCATTAACCGGGGTCTGGAATCACAGTCCTTCTTGGCTAGTCCCATCACATGTTGAGTCAGTACGTTTTTGAGCCTTAAGGACTGTTTGATGAATTTCTATTACCTAATATCAGAGTTTGCTAGATTAGGGTCCGTGTTTTCAGGTACTTCTCGCACAATTGTTTTTCTTCCGCGGAAAAACTCGCGAGATTCTTTAGTGATATTCCGGATGAGATCGCGCTCAGAATGCGGTATGTCGGGCAGTATTCTTACATTCCTATCTGATTTCAGTAAATGACTCGCTAGCAAGATATCCTCTACGTCGGTAGCATTCCTAAGTGTTACACGAAGTAGCCTCGGGTGAGTTTGATGCTTAGACTTCTTTCTCCGAGTGAGCCGTGTGACCGTCTAAGGCTCTATCCTAGGAAGTTCAAGTTCCTTGTTCAATTCACCCCAGAGCATCCTGTCATCTTTGTCCTGCAAACTGAAAGGAAAGTCAGGGTTGTCTTTGAGGTTCATGATTATGAGAGAGTCATCACGAACCATTATTGTTTTCCCAGGTTTTCCGAAGCATTCATTTTCAGCACCTTTTTGTTTGGAGGTCGAAGCACGTTTATGAATCCTAGGCTCTTTGATGACCAGACGGACATTCTTGGGGACATTCTTTGTCAATATCAGAGATAGTAATAAAGAGAGAAGGTTGGTTAGCCTATCAACTCTTGCGGTTCTTTCCTATAGAAGACTCACTTTCTCTTGAAAAGCGTTTAAGTAGTAGTAGTAGAACATATCCAGCTCTAGTCAGTGCTTACTCTATGGATGTGGCAGGATTTCAACTCAAGTCTATTAAATTAATGCTTTCGAGCATCTTCACCACAATCTCTGAGACAGTAAGCCTGAAAAGAAACAAAATGACGGGACGTGCCATCACCGAAGTTGATATTCAAGATAGAAAATTCTAGTATGAGGTACCTTATTCTATGGAAAGATGGGAAATATAACTAAAGGCATCCTTAAACAAAAGTTTAGTAAACCATATTACCAATTTAGTAGCTGCTCTCCTGAAAAACTCAAGAGATTCTGTACTTGATATTACACATGAACTATCCACTCAGATAGTTCTTTGTATTAAGCCTTATGTAGGTGGCACATAGAATCTAGAACATGTAGCGGTAAATAAATCCCCAAAATCAATAGCTCCGCAAGTATTTGACGTTTGATGCTGACCGCAAAAAATCCAACGGACTCACCTAGCTTAGGGACCACGGTCACGCATTCTCACCGGATCACGATTGACTACCCCATGCCTCAAATCTCCAGCGACCTTTAGCCAGCCTAGATTTATCACTTCTCGATATATATATATTCTATATATGCCTCTTCACTTCTGACTTTTGATTTGACTGGATTGGCACGGTCTGATTATAAAAGGTGTTGCTGATTAGGGTGTTTTCAAACTCTGAATACTTGTGGCATCTTGAAACATTCCATCGGATGGTCTGAAGTCTCTGAGAAGTGATTAACACGAATCTTGGGCATTAGATGAATCACGTCGTTCAACTATTTTTTAAGTCGTGGTTCACGAACAAAACTAGATTCTCTAGTTCTCAAACTCCTGCTAACTGTGTCCGTTCATAAATATACTGGTGGCTAACGTTGTATTCGATTTGCTCCAATGCACTTTTGATACAATATATTTCTGACACAGTATCTACATGCCATTTTTACATTCATTATCGGTAACGCACAACAATGTTTTACATATCTGGAGTTG